TGCGTACAACTAAATGTTAATATGATGATAATAACAGGTTATTTCAGAACTCCTTCAAACAAGATTAAGTGGTAATAGTCATTCTAGTGTTTATATTTTAACAAGTTATTCAGTCTTAAGATTTTCAACATCTTGAAAGGACTTGATAAGAATTTTGTCGGAGCCGGATTTCTTCTTTGTAAATACTCTACCATCAAAAGTCCAAAACGAGTGAATCTTATTGTTTTTTTTAAGTTGATTGAGCCTTTTGATTAGTTCCTGTCTGTCTCTGGTAAGATATTCTGTAATAAATATGTGAGCCGAATTGTTCTTGAGTTTCTTTTTTGACATATAGATGGAGTTTTTAATTTTCCAATTTCGGAACCTACAAATGAGTTGTCCTTTCCTATCTTCAATTTTACCAATGATGTGAGACCTGTTGATGTCATTGACACAGAGAGGAGGTGAAATGCCCAGTTTTAGGTTGGCAATATCAACTATTAGGTCGTCGGTATTTTGGAGGTCTTCTTGAGTCAATGGAACGTTGTGAGATCTAAGTGATGTTCTGCGACCGTATCCGTGGACGTGTGTTGCAAAGAGTTGAAAAGTCAAATCTGGCAACCATAAAAAAAGGACCATCATAAGCACGTAATTAGATTGACAAAGATTCTGTCCGCATTGAAAGAGGGTCTTCAGAAATACTGTGAAACTGTGAAACTGTTTACTCGCATAGTGGTATTAACCATATGTGGATTATTTGTCTTCTTTGACTGTCCATGACGTTAAAATACTAAATCCCTGGGATGTGTTTTAGTTGATTTTAGTCTCTGATGCATGATTTTTTATTATTAATTGTTTCTGGCTTTTAACTAGCTGTCAGTAACTGCGAGTACTCTCAAATCGTACTTTCTTGTTAATTTGACCTGTTGATACTAATTGTAATGCTTTTTTGTTATTTAATGTTTACTTATTCAGGGTTATATCTGGTCTATATACCATCTTTGATAAGTGTTTAGAATTACTATAAATTTTCACTTCTTCGAACTATGAACATCAAAATTATTTATTTTGTAAAAATATTTCCTTTCTCTATTTGAACTGTACCGTATACCTAACAACAAAATTATTTTCATTTACCTGTGTTTAAAGTAATTGCAAATGGCTGATATTTTTGTTCAAGCATATTGTTTTTCTTAAATTGCTTAACATTTCACAGCGGTATAACATGTTACTTTAATTATTTTTCCCTTAGTTTATTTATTTTATATTTACAATGTATCATAGATCAAATTTATTTGTTCAGTGTATGTTCACTGGTGTTAATATGTCTTTTGATTGAGTTAAGCCATTTCAATTGATATTTTATAGTGTGTCTTTCTATGTTGTGATGTTACACTATTGTTTCAGATAAGGGTGAAGGTTTGGTACCATTAAAACGTTTAAACCCGCTGCAATTGTTTGCACCTGTCCTAAGTCAGGAATCTGATGTTCAGTTGTTGTCGTTTGTTGATGTGGGTAATAATTGTTTCTTGTTTCTCGTTTTTTATATAGATTAGACCGTTGGTTTTCCCGTTTGAATGGTTTTCCACTAGTAATTTTTGAAGCCCTTTATAGCTTGCTGATTGGTGTGAGCCAAGGCTCCGTGTTGAAGGCCGTACTTTGACCTATAATGGTCTACTTTTATAAATTTTGACTTGGATGGAGAGTTGTCTCGTTGGCACTCATACCACATCTTCTTATATCTATCAAAAAACTCTAAAGAACTTCTGAATAAATTTAAATCTCAATCTTTCTGTGAAATTAGTTCTATCAAAACTTTTGATTTTTCATCCCTGTTTACCACCGTTCCCCATGTGAAATTAAAAAATTGTCTAAAAGAAATAATCCACAACGCTTTCCAACATAAAAATGGTAGCATATTTTGTTAATAGTGAACAATAAACTAAAACATGCTACACAGAGGAACAAGTGATCAGTATGCTGGAGTTTCTTATTGAAAACATATTCGTTGAATTTGGAGGTGAACTTTTTCAACAAATTGTTGGCATTCATATGGGAATGAACTGTGCGCCTCTCCTTGCCGACCTCTTCTTATTTTCATATGAGTCGGAGTTCATTCAGACACATGTCAAAAACAAGAAGATCGGTCAGTGTATATTTGCGTCCATTCATTTTTCGTTTTGAGATATCAAAAACAAAAAACGAAAAACGAAAGTGTTTTTATTTTTCGTTTTTAATTTCTTAAAAACCAAAATGAAAAACAAAAGTGTTTTCGTTTTTCGTTTTTGATTTCATTAAATAAGAAAGAAAATCGACTTTTGGATTCAACTTCTGTATTTTGTTCCAATTATTTCTCGTTTTATATTGTATATTTTTCCTTTCTTGTTTCAAAGCCATCGATATGATAATATGCCAACGTATTTTGTTTTCATCCCCGTAATTACCTCGGTGTGTTTCCAACTTAATGTAGACAAAATAGACCGCCTGACTTATGAATTGAAATAAATTGATCAATGAATCAAAGACGTTCAAATTTCCTTGTTTGTACCTATAATAAAGAATAAATTATTATATTTAAACATTAAATGAATCATAAATTTAAATCATACAATGACATATCATATAAAGATGGTAAAAATATAATAGATTAGTTACAACATCACAGTAACAAGGGAGGTTATTTCTCAACTGATAAGAAAACTAGCCCGGTCGTTAAAGTATATACAGCGGTTATCAGACCAATCTATACTATTAAATGAGAAGACCTCATTTTGTGTGTCGCTTCTCTTCCTTCCACAATAAATTAATCATCATACCCCTGTGTCCTATAGGTACCATGCATAGTCGCATTTGTCATCCTCGCTTATGATTATTCCGTTTGGGTTATTTTGGGAGAAAAACGAAAATTAAGGCGTCCGGATATTGTTTCCGTCATCGGACGGACTTTTAAGTCATATACAAGACTTCCGTTTAGGACTGTTAAATTACACATAATTTTCATAGGTACTTGGGGACAGGACAATTATTTTTCGCGTTTTTCTGTATACAATGAACATACATATACTATAAATAAAGTGTATTTGCTATTTACTATCAATTCCAAGTTTACAATTCACGGAGGTCACTGATATATTATATAGAGAGTAGAGAGTATTTACGGCTAACAGAATTTCATCTCGGGTAATTACACCATTTAAAGAATCAGCATCTTTGTTAGAGTCGAAATCCGTTTCATCAAGATTGTTGTTATTCTCACTGTTATTCGTAAATAAAGCTTGAAACTCATCTTTCCACCTGTTTAAAACACTGTTCTTATCGGTCTTAACATTTCCTGTATCGTCGATAATGGCCCACGGAACGCGTGGTCTTCGTTCATTCACTATTCCGGTCTTTCCTATCGATTTCCAGAATTCACTTTGGCTACACGCATTCAGTTGGTCTTCAAGTTTCTGTTGTTCCTGGTACACATACGTCCTTTTATATTTCTGATTTAGCCTATCGAATTGTTTTCTAACGTTACAAAACTCTTCTATAAGTTTACGTTTGATGGTCTTTGATCCTTGAAATTTTAACCACTTTTTTTCTGATTCACAGACTTTATCCCACTGTCGAGAAGGATTCTCATTCCAATAAGGTTTATGGTCTATTTAGGATAAATTGTATTTTAGCGACTTGGATAAGTCATTGCGCGTCATTAGTTGTCTATTCATGCACGTGTTATAAGCTCCGCCTCCCAACACTCGACGCTTTCTTGTTTCCACTACACGTGTTCCAAGCTCCACCTTCCCGAAGCCTCGTTTCTATTACTTACATGTGCTAGCTCGCATCATGACAGCATGTCATGTTCGCTTATAAAAAAATATAGAAGTATATATATTTGTTTTTAATCATGGCTTCAAGTGCTCGACCAAAACGCGACAATGCTGGAAAAAAACTTAAAAACATTATTGAAAGTTTACGAGCCGGGACACCAAAAGATGCTATAAGAGAGGAGTCTATTGATTCAGAGGACGAATTCCAAGATACTTTTGAACAAGCAGAAAGTGACAAAAGTGACATTGCGACAAAACAGGAAAAGGAACAAAATACGTTACAAATAGAAAGAAAGAAAATAGAGATGCGAAAAGCAATCCAAGAAGAAAAAGACAATCTACGTAAACTACAAATCAGCGGATCAGTGACAGAGAAAGCTTCAAAAGGTGAGATAAGTGACATTCTTACACATGTATCAACATTCTCAGAAAATAACTCTAAAGCACTACAAATAGTAAATTTTCTATGGCCCGAACCCATTCCTCAATTTCAAACATTCACCTTGGCTGGCGATGTCGAATTTCGAGTGGGTAAGAAGAAGACTCTGGACAAAATATCCATTGAGGAATAGGGCTACGCGAATAATATTTCCAAGAGCTCGTTAGGCAGAAACGTATAACCAATGTCAATGCGCATGTGAATTATACAGCAGACATTTTTCGCGTAGCATCTTATTATATATAAGTACGTCTCGTACTCTGTCTTTTGTACGATAAAGAGTACCGTGATAATCAAACTGAGGAAAATTTCGAAACCGGCAAGATCTCGGAGATTTTCAGTTAGTATTGAAGCACGACAACCCTACTGCTCGCGCCATTAACGAGGCTGCGGAGACAGCTTCGCCCGAAGGTCGAGGAAACGGAAAGTCGACCAATCGTCGTAGGGGACCTTTCCTTCCAGATGGCCGGGAAATTTGTAGGAGTCTTAAGAGCCAATCCGCCAGAAAACCATGCAATATTCAGAAAATCGTCCAAATCGACAATCACAACTTGACAAATTTTTATACATCATCTTAATCCTTGACATAAAATAAAAGAATTTGACCACTTAATTTTTCCCAGAATCGTATCTATTTTTAGTAACAGCCTCATTTGCATAATTCTGTAAATTCATAATGAAACCAAGGAAAAATCCAACTTTTTTATGCCTTTTAAGAATGACCCAGAAGCATATTAAATGGGGTAGTTGAGTTTTTAGAGTGATGTCAGCTGAAACTCATCCATTTTACTATGTTATGATCAATACAAATGAAAATTTAAACGATTTGGCACATTGCCAGGAGCAGGGACACAAAGGCGGGGTTTTTCATACATGAATTTACGTGGTTTTCATTCGCTTCTATCTTGCAAGACCCATTCCGGATTTGTTTGCAACTTATATCGGTTTTAACTATGGGGTATGTTTTATATCAAAACAAAATATTAAGCTTGGCAAATGACTATTATATGTTAATTTATGCCTTGGAAGGATGGTGATTTAAGTCCACAATTGACACATTTTGATTTTGATTTTAATTAAATTCTAAACACAATTGGTACTAAAATGGCTCATAAAATCATTCGAACAAGTAAAATCAATTTGTCTGAAAAATGAAATAAGACGTATTTGTACTGCAAGTCCAAAAATCAATAAATTGTCTGAAACCAGGGAGTCCATCTTTTATGCTCTTTCATTGACTTATCTCCCTTGGGTAAGATCTCAAACATGTCAGCTCCCAGTGATGGTTTGGCAGACAAATGTTTACAGTGAAGTTTGTGACTTTAATAATCTAGGATGAGCATGTGGGCTATCCCAGCCTTATACATCTACATATTACAAACTATTTAAGATATCTGAATGCACTAAAGACCAAAATAGCATTTCCAAACAAAATAATTACTGCCAAGAAATTTGACAATCATGACAATAATTTAGTGAATAAACATGATAAATATTGATTGGAAAAATAAGACCATGAACAGCAAAAAGTGTTTTTAGATTTCAACGAGCAAAACAAAAGTATTCTAAATCATTCTTTGTAAAAAAAAAAGTGAGCGAGTGGAACCACCTTGCTCGCACCAAAATTGAAATTGAAAGTGTCAAAACTGCTCTGGCCCACCATCAATAAATCAACGACACTCTCTCTACCGTGGTATTGAAACCAGCATTGGTAACCAAACATATTCATACAGATACAGACTACCATTCATCTACATTTAGGAAGTCTGAATAATACTGAAAACTATGGTGTAGAATTTCCAACAGGACTCCTTATTTTATATAAGACAAGGAGTGGTTTATTTTCCCATGGTTGTTACATCATCTTGTCTTTGAATATGCTCGAAGTACAGGGACTTTTATGGAATTCATTGACATGATAGTCAAGCAAGATGTCAACATCTCGTCCAACCCTCTTCCAGCAAAGCCAAAGCTGACCAAGGATCTTCACCCTTTCAAAACAGGCTGTATACAGGACGAGTTATTCCAGTAGGAACAGGTACAAATCTTACAATCAATTTTCATTTGTTCCATATAGTCAATCTGAAATTAGGTGACCAACAATTGATACATTAGCTAGATTAAAAAAAGGGGGGGGGGTGTTGAAGGGGCATGTGAATATTCTTTTACACCTGACCTGTTTCTAAGACATCTTATTTATTTCCTATGGCAAAGTTCAAGCAAATAATATATATCCGTATATACATTGTTCCGTCTTGGGACCATTTGATTAAAAAAGCAAGGGGGAGGATTAGAATGGTCAAATATTTATGTCCTTGTCAGCTTAGGACCGAATTTTAATTTTCAAGCTATTAACCAGGGTACAATATATATTTATTTTCTGCTATAAAAAATCAATTTATAGACCAGAATCATGATAATAATCAAAATCTATTTCAACATATTCAACGTTTAGCAGGTCAGGTTTTTATTCTCTTCCCCTAAGTTATATTTTCAGTTCTTACTGGAAGTTGTTCAGCTCTTTGTCTACTAAAAAAAGTTTTATCTCGTGGAAAAGCCTCCTACAAATACATGTTTTACATACAACAAACTGTACATGTAACACTAGACAACTTTATCCAGAGAATAATATTTTTTTAATGAACTAATAGGCCATGGAGACTAAAAAAATCAAAAGCATTGCAAACTTTTGTAAGGTTCAATTTTAGGACCCTACATGTACATGTATGTAGATTACTTATAGAGCCCTTTTTAAAAGAAAAAACATACATTTAAACTACATGCACAGTGATGCTACACTACCCTACATTTCCTGTCTGATATATTTTATTTCATGTAAAACAAAATTGAAGAATTATTTTATAGTTTAACACTTTTTATTTGTAGGGCTATATATATATGCAAGCAATGCTCAATTAAGATGAATTTTTGTAAAAGTGACAATAGCCAGGTCAAACTAAATACATGTATAGAAGAAGATATTGGTAAGTTATTATTAACTTATATATTAATTTAACTGTTTGTATAACATGGGAATCATACAAAGTATATGTAATCACTTATATAATAACATAATTATACAATTACATGTTATACATTTGTACATCAGTTTTATTAAACAGGTCTTTGTTAACTTGGTTTTCCCATTGAAAAATCACTTTGCTAATTTTAATTTGTAGTACTATATTGGGCGGCTCCTATAGTTTCCATTCAATAACTAACAATGACTAATGAACTGTTCATACATTCCATTTCAATTATTTTATTTATTAATACGTATTACTTTTACGGTTAAGTCTGTTTTTTGTGATATCCATTTTACGTGACTCTGTATTTATGTATCCCGTCATACTTTGAACGACAAAATTATTTTATGTCTACCTGTGCGAATTTCAAATGCGCGATTTTACGCCAGTACTTAAAACCTTCCATCCTTTATGGGTGGATTATACATAGATATATAAAATCGTATAATATAAGCAAAATGAGGATGTTAAATTTGATGTATGCCTTTTTGTGCTTCTTCGTTACATTTGTTTGTTTTTATAGTGATTAAGATGATAACACAATGTTGACTGCTGTACCCCTATTTTTGACAATTTTACCTATTGTGTCTGTTTGTTTTGTTCATGCATCGTTGTCAATATAATGGAATTTGATGCGACTGTCATACAAGTGAGAGGTTTATTATCTAGCTATAAAACCAGGTTCAATCCACCATTTTCTACATAGAAAATGCCTGTATCAAGTCAGGAATATGACAGTTGTTATCCATTCGTTTGATGTGTTTGAACTTTTGATTTTGCCATTTGATTGGGGACTTTCCTTTTTGAATTTTCCTCGGAGTTCAGTATTTTTGTGATTTTACTTTTTCAAATATAAAAGGGGGAGATTTTTATTGGTACTTTTGAAGATATTTCACCTGTTCCATTAATTGATTGGTTGTTGGTAATGCTAATGTCCAATGGCAAATAGTTCATGCATGTTTAGGACAAGAACAAATTAAAATAAATACATTATTTGGGTTCTTAATATGCGAAATCTAACAATGTATTTAAATAATTTAAGATGTTGCAATTGGGCCCCATTTTAAATTGGTTCACATTGATTTCAAAATGGTCCAAAATTTTTTTTCTTATTTCTACACAACTTGAATTCTTGAGGTTCTTTTGATATACAAAATGCAAATGTTTTATATTTAGATTTTTAATTTCGGTCCAGTTTTCAAATTTGTCCACATTTTAAAGTCCAAAGGGTCCAAATTTTAACTTAGTTTAATTTTAACAAAACTTGAACTCTAATTACAATGAATTGGGGTCCTTTGAATGATAAATAGAAATAATCAAATATCCTGAATATAAATATGTACTTAGATTTATGATTTTGGTCCCAGTTTTCAAGTTGGTTCAAATGGGGTCCATAATTTAACTGTGTTTGATTTCAACAATAATTTTAAAGATGCTGATTCAGCCTGAATCTAACCTATATTTAGTTTTTGGGCCCTATTATGAAATTGGTTTACATTGAGGTCCAAAGGGTCCAAAATTAAACTAAATTTAAAATCTTAATTTGATCTTGGGGTTCTCTGATATGCTGAATCTATTAAACTTTATATTTATACCATATTTATTCTGTGTTAGAAACCTATTCTTTGTCAAATATTTAATCCCATTACAAATTTAGAGCTGTTATAGCTTGAATGTTCTGTCCAAACTTGCATTTTTTCTTCATCTTCCACAAAATTTGTCCTTTTCTGAGATAACTGGTGTTATTTTTTTAAATGAAACTTTAGTGAAAAGAAAAGCACAGTCAATATGTGGATATTATCTGATGTCAAACATTTTCAAGATGGCCACCAAGGATGGCACAAATTTCAACACTGGTTAATTTAATGAAAATTGTTAATTAGGGATAGTCGTGGTAGTTTGACTTGCTAAACAAAGTAAGGTTGTTTTTTCTTCCAAAATGGCAAACATTTTCAAGATGGCCTTATATGAAAATTGACATTAAGGAATTATAGCACTTTTGACATGCCAACAAAACAATGAAATTTTTTTTTAAAGATGGACACAGCAAAAAAAGGGTAAAATTTTCAATTTTGTTGAGTTCGATTTTAAAGAATATTGATATTTAGCTGTACTTTGACACAGAGGACAGATATAAAGATGGCCACCATTTCAAAGATTGTCACTAAAAGCGGTCAAATTATCACCATTGTCTGTTTTCAATGTAAAATTATATTGAGAGGTAATTTGACATGCCAAACCAAATGGAGGCAATTTTTATTGTTGTAAAGATGTTAAGGGCTATTTGGACATGCTTAAAAGGAGTGGATAATAACTATTCTGCAAAAATGATTTGGCTTTAGTTGGGAGAATTTTGTAACTGCATCCACTTACAGTAAAAGTTGTCAATTTTATTTCCTGTCAGTGGTATATATGAAATTAAAAAAAAAATGTGGTATGATTGCCAATGAGAACAAATGACATAGAAGTAAAGCTATAGGTCTTCATACGCCATATGGCCTTCAACAATGAGCAAGACCTATACTGCATATATATTCAGCCATAAAAGGCCCCAAAATAAGAAAATGAAAAAATATGAAAACTAACAGCCTGATTTATGTATGTATGTTTTGTGGTTTTCAGATCTAGACTTGCAGCTAACCTTTCTGTCAGTGTCAACAACAACTGAACTTTCACAGCACTGAGTCAACATCAGATTGGGAGACTGATAATGCTTCTAACAGAAACAATTTAAACCAACCAAACAAGCAACAGAAACTTTCCAACTTTAAAACATCAGTTAAATCTTCCATGGGATAATGTCTCAAAAAATAACAGTTCATCATTTATGGAGATTTTAATGTTATGGTTTTTCTTTTACAAGAAAGTTAATGTACACTTGTTTTATAGTAAAACCTATAGCCGTTCAAGTATAAAAAAACACATTCAACTTTATTGAAATTTGAAGATTCATATGACTTATTTGAATTCTGTTATCTCCGAGGATGTGATGTAGAGCATTATAGGTACAGTAATCTTAACAGCTATCCAATTTCATTCAAAATTCTTTATAAATTTTGCACTGGTATATATAGACTAAGTAATTTGTTTTTCGTCTAGTTATGATATTTTTTTATACCCCACGCAACGAGTTGCGGAGGGTATAATGTTTTTGACCCGTCCGTCCGTCCGTCAGTCCGTCAGTCCTGTTTCTTGTCATCGCAACTCCTCTCAAATCACACAACAGAATTTCACGAAACCTTTTTAGATAATAAGGACATACTATGTAGTTGTGCATATAGACAGGAAATTACGATTCAATTCTTTTTCTAGGAGTTACACCCCTTTGAACCTATTTACTTTAATGTACTACTGCAACAGTTTGTCATGGCAACTCCTCTCAAACCACACAACAGAATTTCATGAAACCTTTTCAGATAATAAGGACATACTACGTAGATGTGCATATCGACAGGAAATTACGATTTAATTTTTTTTCCAGGAGTTACGCCCCTTTGAACTTATTTGCCCAATATACTACTGCAACCTTTTGTCATCGCAACTCCGCTCAAACCACACAACAGAATTTCATGAAACCTTTTCAGATAATAAGGACATACTACGTAGATGTGCATATAGACAGGAAATTACGATTCAATTTTTAGGCCAGGAGTTACGCCCCTTTAAACTTATTTGCCCAATATACTACTGCAACCTTTTGTCATCGCAACTCCTCTCAAACCACACAACAGAATTTCATGAAACCTTTTCAGATAATAAGGACATACTACGTAGATGTGCATATCGACAGGAAATTACGATTCAATTTTTAGGCCAGGAGTTACGCCCCTTTGAACTTATTTGCCCAATATACTACTGCAACCTTTTGTCATCGCAACTCCTCTCAAACCACACAACAGAATTTCATGAAACCTTTTCACATAATAAGGACATACTACGTAGATGTGCATATCGACAGGAAATTACGATTCAATTGTTTTTCCAGGATTTACGCCCCTTTGAACTTATTTGCCCAATATACTACTGCAACCTTTTGTCATCGCAACTCCTCACAAACCACACAACAGAATTTCATGAAACCTTTTCAGATAAAAAGGACATACTACGTAGATGTGCATATCGACAGGAAATTACGATTCAATTTTTTTTCCAGGAATTACGCCCCTTTGAACTTATTTGCCCAATATACTACTGCAACCTTTTGTCATCGCAACTCCTCTCAAACCACACAACAGAATTTCATGAAACTGTGTAGATAATAAGGACATACTACGTCAATGTGCATATTGACAGGAAATTATGATTCAATTTTTTTTCTGATACAATTTTTTTTTCTACACTTATTTTATTTCTCCAATGACAATGTGGGGACGTGGGGTATGTGAGCGTGCTCACTAAGGTTCTTTCATTTTAAAAGCATTTATGATTTTCATGTTTGTATTGACCACATTGCAGCAACATAGATATAGGTACCTGGCAAATCTTGCCTTGTTAGCATACTAGGCTCAAAGGGTCATAAAAAAAAATAAGTGTCTGTTTAAATCATCTGTTTACAGTTTTCACTTTTAAACCATCATCTTAATAACTTTAGAAGAAGTGTCATACATATATATATATGTATACAAAATTTAAAAACTTTTCAAAATATATATATATTGATAAAAACTATCAACATGACAAGATCTAAATACCAAAAATTTTTCTGAAAAATTGGACATAACATCTATGAGCTATTGTCCCTGAAATGTGTAAATTTACAAATTTTCACAATTTTCTGCTACTATCCGACAACTATATCAATATATTATAAGAATAAATTGCAAAAGTGGTCAGAAGAAACTTTTTTTTTACAGTCTGAACTTATTCTGAATTGTTTAACTTCTAATTTAAATTGATTGCGTTTGAAATATGTGTTTTTTTATTGTTTTAGGTGCACAATTTGTCAATACGATCTATTTCGGCTCCTGGGAGCCTCAAGATTTATAATGAATAATTTGTATTTATGTATGATTTTTTTCTTAATGTATTAAATGAAACATTAATTATTCTTTTCCATTTGTTGTTATACTTATTTATAAGTCCAGATCCTATCATATGTCAGTAGTTACAAATTAGACAGCAAAATTGCGAAAATTTGAATATGCAGGTTACCCCATTTTGTTGTGGCATATACCAGACACCAACATTATTTGCCGAGCTTGATATTTTTTTTGATTGGGTATATATAGTTATACTTTGCAAGTAGATATGTTGTTTTACAATAACAAACGGGTCTTGGAGTATTTTGGCTCTGAAAGATGACCAAAATCAGCCATTTTGGACATGTAGCTAAATAAGACATATTGAAACAGTTAGATTATACATACACTTAATAGACAGCATTGTTAATTCTATGCATTCTTACACTTAAAGTGATGTATTACTAGGAACAACTATCAAAAAATTCTAAATGTTACCATATTTTTTTATTTAAACCAGCGAAATATGCCAAAAAAGGCTTATTTTTGCTGTTTTCGAGCAATTTCATCTGTTAAAACATGGCGCTCAAAAAATATTCAGATCGGTTTAATATTTTCCCAAAAAAATTTGTGTGGTTATTGACATTACTAAGGTGCACCAATATGCCAAATATGAACTCATTTGGAAAAAGTGACATTCGGACGGTTTTGCATGGTTTTCTGGCAGATTGGCTCTTAACAACAACTCTTGCTACCGCTGGGACTGTAGAATGGCACATCATTGTGCTGTTTGCATGACCAATACTCATTCGGCAGTGACAGGCCACGGTAACCAAATAAATTCATACCCAAAAAACACACCATTGCCTCAAAACATGGATTAAAAGTAGATACGAAAAATAATTACTTACGTTTTGAGGCATGGGATCGCTTGCTTTCGTTTGACAGTAAAGACAGAGACTTTATTCTATGTGGAATTAAAGATGGATTTAAATTAAGTGTTGTTTATGGGCCGTATCTTCCTGTAAATCAAGAGAATTACTCTTCTGCATTTCGCTTCCGTGACAAAGTTGAGAGGCAAATTCAGGATGACATATCTAAGAATACTTTTTTGGTGGTCAGCCGTGTATAACTTTGATATAAAGGCAAAATTTATAAGCGGACGAAATAATGTAATTGCAGACGCGGCATCCAGATTACATGAACACGGCCAATTGACAAAATTATATAACATATTATCAAGTTATCAGTATATACCATTTAGTGCGAGCGAACTTTAAAACACATGTCATTTGACTTTTTTCTTTCTAGATGGTGGAAATGCCGGCACACAGGACTTGGCAGTAGCAGTCGAGCGATTACGAAACAAGGGGTGGGCTAAATCTCCTTCCGAAACCTACCGTGCGCACCTAAGGACTTATATGGAATTTTGCAAGGACCTCGACTTTGAACCAGTGCCGTGTTCTAATAAGACAATCGAAATGTATATCGCATATCTTGTGGATATTAAAAAATTTGCGTACAGCTCCATTCGATCATATATAAACATTATTTCTGTGCTTCACAAATCACGGGACTTGCCTGATCCAATTACAACCTCATGGAATATTAAACATTTACTAACTGGCGTCAAACGTGAACTAGGTACAAGCCAGAATTGTAAAGCACCTATAACACCAGAAATATTATTGAAAATGAAGGCATCGTTGGATCTTACTTGTCATAACAATATTGTTTTTTGGGCAGCTTGCATGTTAGGATTTTTTTGGTTTTCTTAGACCCAATAATTTTTTGATTAAAGGCAAATTTGACCCTGAGCTAAATGTGCGCAGAATTGATATTTTACCTTGCAAATGGGATATGTTGGTGACACTTAAGATTACTAAAACTCTGCAGTTTAGATCAAAACCTATAGAAATCACACTTTCTATTTTGCCCGGACATCCTTTGTGTCCTTTTGATGCCTTATCCAGCGTTTTAGCTTTGCCTGGAGAGCCCTTGGATCCCCTTTTTTGTTTAGCCGATGGATCTTGCTTTTTGTATACTCTTTTTATTAAGTCGTTGCGTTTTCTTTTATCCCACCTTGAATACTACCCGTCAGCATATGCTGGTCACTCTTTTCGTCGGGGAGCCACTACTTGGGCCAGTAATAGTGGATTAGCTGATGCGGAAATCAAATTGTTAGGGTATTGGTCTAGTGATTGTTATCTAAGATACGTGGATTCAGATGGTGAGAAACGTCTACGGGTTGTAAGTCTTTTTAGTTCTTTATTAACCCGTTCATAACACCATTCCTGTCCACACTAATTGGGTTTGGGACATATCACATGATTGTTTTAGGAGTTATGTAAAGGGGGGTTTTAGCTTGGAGTTACCAAGCTAATAAATTTGCCATTCTCATTATTCTTGTTGTTATTATTCCAAGACAGGTAAAGGTCTATTTAGGATAAATTGTATTTTAGCGACTTGGATAAGTCATTGCGTGTCGTTAGTTGTCTATTCATACACGTTTTATAAGCTCCGCCTTCCAACACTCGACGCTTTCTTTGTCTCCACTACACGTGTTCCTAGCTCCACCTTCCCGCAGCCTCGTTTCTATTACTTACATGTGCTAGCTCGCATCATGGCAGCATGTCCTGTTCGCTTCCCTTATCCCTCCCTCCCAGTAGTATTACTGTGGGTTCAACGGGTTATTTTATTTTACGCTAATTTGCGTATATCATGTATATATATAGTTTGTACTTATGTTTAATTGTATGATTGTATACGGGGACATATCACATGATTATTTTAGGAGTTATGTAAAGGGGGGTTTTAGATTATTTACGTTTATGACTTCCATTTGTAAAATTCAAAACAGGCAATTTTTTTTCCATTTCACTATGAATTAAAAGTTGAAATTCATTATACGCCGTTTGTACGTTTTATGTGATTTGTATAGAATTTTCAATTCTGATGATAGTTTCATTAACTTTTTTTTTCGATAATTCCGATGTTTTTCAAAAAATCGTTCGGAATATTTGAAAATTTAAATTTGCGGTTTTGGACTTTCGAATCGCTATTTAAAACATCTATGTTCTCAGTATTGTATCCTCCAGGAATAATAATATCACAGACCAGTAATGAATGGTCGGGAATTTTATCCGGCATATAAATAATTTCATTTATCACAGTTGACATTGAAATGATTTTAAAATCTTTTATATACTCCATATCCTCATAAGGAACACACATATAATATATAACCGATTTTCCAGACGTTGAAATGCAAGAGAATTCATGATCCTGAAAACGGCCATTTAGCAAAGCAAAATTTATATCACTTTACAAAATTAATAAATATATCTCCTTGGTGATTTTCACTAAAATCGACAATATTTCGTGGTTTCACAATATCCACCCCCTCCACATAATCTGTATTCTGTCCTACACGTGAATTTGAACCGCCACAAATTATAATTTTTCCTAATTTCTGGTAACTGTAAACTTGTTGAAGCAAATTTTGAAAATATAAATCCGAATCCATAGCTCTGCTTTTATTTTTCACAAGTAATCCTACTCCTGCGGACCCTCTGGTAGCATTTCTATATAAAATGTTCCTGTTATGACCGACGAATGTGTATCCGGGGATGTTTAATTTTTCGTCACCGCGTAAAAACGTTTCTGTTAGAAGGTATGTATATCCAACGTCCTGAGCTTTGATTAATTCTGATGTCCACTAAAAAGTCATATAATGGTCATAGAAGATTGGTACATCCAACGTTCTGGGTGTAGATTAATTCTGATGTCCACTAAAAGTCATATGATGGTCATAAAAGATTGGCAAATCCAACGTCCGGAGCGTGGATTTATTCTGATGTCCTCTAAAAAGTCATATAATGGTCATAGAAGATTGACACATCAAACGTCCTAAGCGTGGATTTATTCTGATGTATATTGAAAAGTAAAGTAATATTATGGTCAAAGAGGATTGGCACATCCAACGTCCTGAGCGTGAATTAATTCTGATGTCCACTAAAAAGTCTTATAATGGTCATAGAAAATTGACACATCCAACGTCTTGAGCATGGATTAATTCTGATGTCCTCTAAAAAGTCATATAATGGTCATAGAAGATTGGCACATCCAACGTCTTGAGCGTGGATTAATTCTAAAGGCTACTAAAAAGACATAAAAAGGTCATAGCAGATTGGCACCTCCAACGTCCTGAGCGTGGATTAATTCTGATGTACATTGAAAAGTAAAGTAATATTATGGCCAAAGAAGATTGGCACATCCAACGTCTTGAGCGTGGATTAATTCTGATGTCCAATAAAAAGTCATATAATGGTCATAGAAGATTGACACATCCAATGTCCTGAGCGTGGATTGATTCTGATGTCCTCTAAAAAGTCATATAATATTCAAAGAAGATTGGCACATCCAACGTCCTGAGCGTAGATATATTCTGATGTACATTGAAAAGTAAAGTAATATAATGGTCAAAGAAGATTGGCACACCCAACGTCCTGAGCGTGCATTAATTCTAATCTCAATTAAAAGTCATATAATGGTTATAGAAGA